AAAGGAGAGAATAGAATAAATGGGGGGCAGGATAGGATGGAGGGAAATATAGTTAGTCTTTCACAACATGAATATCATGGAAGTGTTTTGCATGACTACACATGTATAACCTATGTCAAATTGCTTGCCTTCTTGACGAGGGTGAATAAGGAGGGAGGAAGGGAGAGAATTTGGAACTCAAAGTTTTAAAAACAAATGTTAAAAATTGTTTCTCCATGTAACTGGGAAATAAGATACACAGGCAATGGGGTATAGAAATCTATCCTGCCCTACAGGAAAATAAAAGAGGAAGGGTATAAGAGAATGGGGGATGATAGAAGGCAGAGCAGATTGGGGCAAGGGTTAGTTAGAATATATGCTGTCTTGGGGTGGGTGGAGGGGAGGCATAGGGAGAAAATTTAGAACTTACAATCTTGTAGAAGTGAATGTTGAAAACTAAAAATAAATAAATCAAAAAAATTAAAAATAAAGTAATAAACCAAAGGTAATATGGAAAGAACTGTAAAAGAACTCTCCTAGACAAGACAGACACATGGAGAAATTTTTCCAAACATTTAAAGAATTAGTACCCCCTTACAGAATTTGTATAGAGAACAATTACATGCTATTCAATTCCATAAAGTCAATATGGCATGGCATTAATTCTGAAACTTGATAAAAAGCATTATCATAAAGGAAAAATTATAAGATCTCACTAATAAATATTAAACATAACATTTAAAAAATATGAAATAGAATAATAGTATAAAAATAGAAATAGTATAATAGAATAAACTTTAAGGTTTATAAGGCATTTGCCTCATGACAGTGAATGTTTGTTGATTGAGCAAACCTGTGAGTTACAGGACACAAAGTTTAGGCACACTTAAATGTCTCCAAAAATTGCTATTTGATAATTCATTTTAAAAATGAATACTTTAAATTTTGGAACTCAAAATCTTATAAAAATGTAAAGTTTTAGTTTCTTTTGTTTGAGGAATAAAAATGTCCTTTATAATTGAATATTCAATAAATATTCACCTCGAAAAACAAGGGTGTACACTCTAACAAAATTATTCCTATATTCATATATTATTCCTACATTTATGCCTATGCCTGTGAATTAATTAGTGTAAGTATCTCCATTATATATACAAAGTAACTGAGACTCTGACTGACTTGCCATAATTACATAGCTGTTAAGTGTCTGAGGTAGAATTTGAGCATGATCTCTTTATTCCAAATAGAGTATTCTTTCTATTATAGTACCCTCAGCATGTATCAAATACAGCAATCTATTTGTTTTTCAAGTACTTTACATGGACTTCCAGTTAAATGACTGCTTGAATAGAGGCAGGCATCCTATCTTCCACATACCTTAAAAATAACGTCATACCAAATGATGATTAAGAATTCCAATGAAAAACTAAATGACTTTTTTCCACCAGAACTGAACAAAAAGTCACTAAAAGTCCACAGGCAAAAGGAAAGGAAGCCTGACAGAAGAGGCAATGAGCAAAACAGAAGCCAGGCAAACGACTCCAGTAGCTTACAAGGGTCTATATCTGGGGGCAACAAAAGTAAAAGGCTCCAAGAGAAAACCCCAGGATGGTTGGGAACCATTGCACATAAACTTGGAAATAAACAGGAGCTACAGCAACAAGTTGGGGCATGGAAGCAATCAGATGGGAACTCTTCTGGGTCATGGGTCCCAAGATCCCTAGCAATCTGCTCAAATTTGAAGATCTAAGAGGACTAAAACCTACCAAACATTCTTAGAGTAGACACACTCTGGGAGGTGGGAATACAAGTGATTACAGATGAGACCAAGCAGTGGTTTTCTTGTACCATGGCTCAAGAGCCTTCTCTCACTGGTATGCTCCCTCCATTGAGTATCAATAGATTATCAGTTAGTAATCCAGACTTAATTGGATCTTGGAAAGGAATATTTACTAAGGTAGTATAATTACAAGAGTTGGCTCAAAGTCTGTGACATAGTCTCCCACCAGTACATATACACTACAGAGAAAAGTGGGCTCAAGTTTAGAAAGCACAGGTAGCAAAGGGGTAATTCATAGGTCCTGGTTGCTTAAAGTTCTTTTCTTCACTACATGGGACATTTATGAAGTCCTTCTTAAGTACAGCACCACTTTCCTGCTGTACTTTTTTGTGGAGTTGTGAAGCTACCTTTCTTTATTGATTCTCGTTTATCCTTGGCTCCTGACATACCATTCACTGTTGTCCTGGGGACACTGCAATGATACCCATAAATCCAAATCCTCCAACCATCCATAGTTCACAAGGCTCTCTTCTGGTTAAGGGGTAGAAAGAGACCAAGATGAGGCTGGCACCAAGGCTCCTATGCAACAGGGTTGTTCAATCACTTAACAAAAACTACTTCCTGCACAAAATCATTCCATTTCATCCAATGGCTTCCCAGGCCTTTTAAATTGGTAAGGACTTCTTATACCTAGTCTAAAGCCATTGATTAATTGGTTGATGATGATTAATTAATTGAGATGCTGAGGTCTTATTTGCACCTAGTTCACAACTTTGATTGCTTGCATGAATCAGTGGAAGCATTCTCACCTGCTAAAGGAATCAGAACCTAGCATTTGGTCTGTTGCTTTAAGTGGGGTAGAGTGACTTGGCTGTCTCAAAGTCAAAGGGGGATCTTGAACAATATATTTTAATAATAAGAAATGAGTTTCATTTTAAAAAAGGAAGAATTTTGGTTGGATATAAGAATACTTCTTTATCAGGTGTGAAACACTGAAATGGATAAAGTTCTTTGATCCCAGAAGAATCATCAGAAAAGAATAATTTTCAAAAAGATTGACATATGTGATGAATTAATAAAAATTTTTTTAGTAAATGCTTACCCAGTGTCAGGCACTGTTAGATGCCAGAGATAACAAAGGCAAAACCAAAACAGTATCCACCCTCTCTACTGGTGGAAACAACCTGTATACAAATAAAGTAAACACAACATGGATACAAAATAATAAGAAGTTAATTTCAGGGGGAAGGGAGGTACTAGTAACTGGGAGGATCAGGAAAGGCCTCATATAATAGCTCAGCTTTGAACGAAGCCAGGGATTCTAAAAGGTATAGGTCAAAAGGGAATGTATTCCAGGTATGAGTGATTCTGTGAAAGCCATGAAGACAGGAGATATGTAATGAATAAAGAAGAACAAGTAGGCCAGTTTGGCTAGATCCAAGAGTTCATAAAGGAGAGTATTACAAAAGCCTAGAAATGTAGACTGGAATCATGTTGTATAGAGTTTTAAATACCCCCCCAAAAAGGAATATACAGTTGAATCTAGAGCCAATAGGGAGTCACTGGAGAATTATGAGTTGAAGAGTAATATAGTCAATCCTTCACTTCAGCAATATCATTTTGGCAGCTGTGTGAAAGATTGGGAAGGAAAGGAACTAGAAGTGGGGAAAACTAATTAGGAGGTCAAAGCAGTAGTCTAGGGTAAAGGTGAGGACTTGAAAGAAAATAGTATCCATGTGAATGGAGAAAGGATAACAATGTGAGGGATGTTGTGGAAGTGCAACCAAGACTCGGTGAATGACTGGATATGGGAGTGAGAAAGGAAAAAGTCAGTGATGACTCTGAGACTATGAACCTGTGGGATCAGAAGTATGGTGGTACCTTCAACAGAAGTAAGGAGGATAGATATAAGGGGAAAGAGGGCTGGCATGGGGAAAAATGGTGAGTTCTGTTTTAGACACATTAAGTTCTTAGAAATCAAGGGATATCCAGTTGGAGATGTCCAGTAGGTAGTTGGTGTTGTGGGACTAACTTAAAAGAGAGACTATGGTATATGCATAGGGCTGGGGATCATCTGAATTGAGATGACATTTAGAAGCTGATGAGATCACTAAGAGAGAAGGTATAGAAAGAGGGGGAAAAAGGGCCCAGGACAGAGCCTTGGGGATATATTTAGCGAATTGGAATGCTGAGAACAATTCAGCAAAGGAGACTAAGGAAGGATCAGACAGGTAAGAAGAGAACAAAGACAGAACAATACCAATATAGTCAATATTACAGAGATGTCAAGGAGGATGACCACTGAGTAAAACTCAATGCATCTGGCAATCAATACTCTATTCATAACTTTGGAGAGAGCAGTTTTAATTGAGTGGTGATACTAGAATCCAGATTCCAAGGGGTTAAAAATTAAGAGAAGAGAAAGTAGAGATAATATGTGTAGTTATCTTACTAAATATGAGGATGTATACAGGATAATAACTTTAAGGGATGGTGTGATCAAATGAAGGTTTTTTTAAGGATGGGGCAAAATAAGCATGTATTTAGGCAACAGAAAAAGAACTGGTAGACAGGAACTAAATTTATTTGTCTAAAGGCAAGATCCTGGAGCAGGTAATGCTTTAAGCTCCATCTCTGCCATGTTATGTCATTATTTTACAAGGAACTTCATGACTTGGGTGGGAGAAAACTCTCATGCTGCCGCTCTGAAGCACCATATCCAAAACTCTGTATATCTCTGACTCAGGTCAACTAAGATATCCTCCAAAGCCTATTATTGCCACATATTTGCCCCCAAAATATCACAGTTTGGCAGCAAAAAGCACAACTTTCCCCTCTTTTCTATTCTTCACTTCCAAGCCCTGACATCAGAAGGAACAAGTGAAAGAAAGATGCAAAAAGTATTGAGAAAAGAAGAAATCACTTCTGCATACACTCTAAATGTTACAGAAGCAGCTTCTTAAGCTAGACCTAACTTCTTAGAGTAAAAGTATACATTTATGGCATTTTAATAATCCAAAGAAAATTTGCTCCTTTCCTGGATAAAAGAGGTAAGAAATATAGGGATAAATTAAGGGTAGAAGTTTTAAGAAACTTTGTACACAAGCTGAATGGAACATGTTATTAAGACATGATATTAATGCTTTACCAAGGGCAAGTCCCTTAAAGTATAAGAGGAAAAAATATAAAACTCTAAACAAAATCTTAGTTCTAGCTAGAAAGGAGACCAGCGTGACAATACCTTAGAGAGATTTTTTATCTTTATTCTGGCTACCAGGTCTACAGGTTCAGACTCAAAAAATTCATGCTTCGAAGGTCTCTCAAGGTCTTCCTCCTCCTTTTCTTCTAAACTCATTCTTGGTTTGCCAAACCAGTAGGAAGGCTATGGTATAAATCAAAACTCAATCACCAACATGGGCACTAATGAACACCACAGTTCTGCACACTTTTTTTGGTAGTTAGGATTAATGAAGTTGTATTAAACTGAGATACTAAAATTCTACAGCCAAATGGCCTAACGACTTAAGTCTCCAAGACATTTAACAAACATTCTATTATTCACGAAGCCATGATAAAAATGAGGTAACTCCAGAATGAAGTCCAAAATGAAAGAGAAGTAGGGGAATCTTTACTCTTCCACAAGCTGGACCAAGTTTCTTTTCTTGAAGAAAACGATCTTGTGAGTTAGATAGTCTAATTTTTTTTTGAGGCAATTTTGGGTTAAGTGACTTGGCCAGGGTCATGCAGTTAGTTAAGTGTCTGAGGCCATATTTGAACTGAAGTCCCCCTAACTGCAGCGCTGGTTCCTTTATCCACCACACCACCTGGCTGCCCCTAGTCTAACTTCTCATCCTCATTTTAACAAGGAAAAACTTGAGGCTTAGAAAGTTTACATGGCTTAAGTGGTTTGCCCAGGGTCACTAAACACTGGAGCCAGGATTTGAACCCAGGTCTCCTGACTTAAAGTTCAACACTTTTACATATCAGACTTGTTTTGTTTTTTTTTTCAGTCAAATGGGAATCAGGTGGGTGGCTCTTTTCCTATGTCACAATGATTTGTGGCTTAAAAGGGCTTGAGGACTGTGGAGCTCACCGTAGTCTAGCAAAGCTGAGAATGGAAGGGAGCAAAAGAGGGAAAGGACTTTGCTGTTAACAACCAGGCAAATGTCAGGATGGGAACAGCATGGAGGTTACCTTGGTTCATATTATGATAATCTCTCTAAGTTGTGAAGAAGGTATGTCCATTATATCTTATTAATCTATTTACTTCTGTTTCTAAGAGGAGTCAATTTCTATGTCTGTAAGTTCCTGAACATGCAACATCCTTCATCAGGAAGTCAGTAAAAATCTGTACCCCAGTACTTTTTACTCGTAATTTCTCAGACATGGAAAATGATAGGAAGATTGAGTTTATTTGCAACTGGTGAGATGTGGGCGTGCAGTTCTATCACTTACAGATACAGGCTATATGTTTTGTTTACATTTGACCAGCATGGTGCTATTACTTGATTGATTCAAATTAAGGAAAAACTAAAACTGAGGTAATCATAGATTAACATGGTAAAGACATAATCTGTAATCCTGCAGTTGCTTCTCAAGGCTTTGGTATCAGGATATCATGGGAACACAGGAATCTTGAAGTTCTCTCTTCCATAAAATAACAATAACTATGGTCAATCTGAAGAAAAACGGCATCAGAACTCACCTGCAAGAAGAAATACCAGGGCTGGGGCATACCATACTGCCCGGGAAATACAGCTTCCACATACCAAGTCACCAAACCATAGAAAACAGAGTCATATAGTAGCATTAACACCACATGTGCTAAGGTGAGGTTATCATCAATGTTAATAGGTGACATGAAGTCTTTCCATTGTATGCCTGTCCCTACAATACACAAAAAGACAAAGTTATTCTGTATAGCAGACTGACGCAAGACCTATATAGCCTCTGAACTTTTTCTGTCCACAGAACACTGTGACAGGGAAAAGGACATACCTACTAACTGATTCTACAAGGCCTTCAGAAAATTTATCCCTGGTTCAAGTACTCTGTGGGTCTGCTTCCATTCAAAATCATAGTTTGCAAGCTCCAAATAATGTGTTTACTTTTAACAGTCAGTTCAAAGCAAAGGTGTTTAATGAAATAGTGTAAACAAACTATCTCTACCATAAAGCTTAGATACACTCTCCCACAAAATAAAAACCATCAATGGGAAAAGTAGACATGTAAAGGGGTCTCCAATATAGGGAACATGTGTGATCGAGGCTCACATGTAAGTAGCATATACAGTCAATGAATATTAGTGGAGGGGCCACAACCCTGTATCATTACATTACTGTGATTTGTGAGGAATACGTGTAATTGAGGCACAAGAATAAAGGGAAGATACACTTCTGATGTAATTGGGCCATTACTGTCTTCTCATAACGTTATTGCGTTGTTTTCTCTGGGCCTGCTATCTGTTGTACGCTGCTCTCTACTGAGAAGACATTTACAAGACAAAAACATAGAAATTGTTTAGAAGAGGGAACTCAAACTTGATTTTTTTAGAAGTTTTAATTCCATGTGGAATGTAAAGAGAATAAGTAAAGAATAAATATGTAAAAGACCATGAATCAAAGAGTTTAGACCAGACAGAAAGGAAACAAGATGAATGAAGAGAGCAAAGCAAAGAAATTCTTTTATAGAAGAAGGGTAAAGAAAATGAAAAACTAACCAAAGATCTGAGAAGGGAAGAGAGAAGGAAGTATTTTGAATTAACCATTTAACTGAGAGATTGTAAGTTCCTTGAGGTAATGGATTGTCTTTTTCCTCTTTTTGTATCTCCAGTGCTTAGCATAGTGCCTGACACATAGTAGGCACTTAATAAATATTTACTGACTGATTAATTGAGAAATATGAAGGGGAAAAAAGGGAGAAAGATTTGAATAATTAAATAATAATAAGAAATAAAAAAGAAATCATTAAGTTAAACAAAACTCCTAAAGGAGTTTTAGGGGGAAAGTTTGACAAATAGGAAAGAAGTTAAAGCTGAGGCTGAGGGGAAGAAAGCCTATGGAAAGAGGGTTCCCTTAAAGTAGATTAAACAAAAATAACTATAGGTACAAAGTACTATCTTAAAAGAAGGAGAATTTAAAAAAAATATTTCAGAAAAAAACCAAAATGACATTAAATAGAATAAATAAAATTGGAGTTTACTAAATAGGGAAGTGATATAGCCAGAACTGCACTTTAGGAAGATTAATTTAACAGCTGAGTAGAGGATGGACTGGAGTAGGAAGAGACAAGACAGGGAGAACAACCAGCAGGTACTGCAATAGAAAGGTGAAAGGTGATGAGGGATCACACTAGGGTGGTGGCAGTGTCAAAAGACAGAAGGGGGTATGTACGAGAGTTGTTACAGAGGAAGAGATGACAGGACTTGGTAGCAGATTGGATATGGGAGAATGAAAGAGTCCTGGAGGATACCTAGATTGTGAGCACGGGTGACAGGAATAATGGTGGTACCCTCCGTAGAAATAGGTAAGTTAGGAAGAGGGAGGATTTTTAAAGAAAGATAATGAGTTCATTTTAGTATGTGCTGAGTTTAAGATGTCTACAGGACATCCAATTAAAGATATCTAACACGCAGTTAGAGATGTGAGTGGAGTTGGTTAAAGGTGGTCAAACAGATCTTCGAAGCACCTGCATAGAGATAACTGACACCATGGAAGCTAAGATCATCGAGTGAAATAGTATACAAGGAGAAGAGAAGAAGGTCCAGGACAGGGTCTTGGAGGACCCCCAGAGTTGGTGGGTGTGATGTGAATGCAGATCCAATAAAAGACTAAGAAGGAGTGGTCAGAGAAGAACCAGGAGAAATGAATATGAAAATCTAGGAAGAAGAACATATCAAAAAGATCACAACTGACAGTGTCAAGGTCACAAAGATAGAAGAAGATACCTCCCCCCATTCCTTTAAAAAGGTGGGATTAGGGGTTCTACAGGTGTGGAACACTGGATATATTGTAAGATTTTTTCCTTTGTTTCTTTTCTTAATCGATTGCTAATTTTTTCCTCTATTGCCTCTTTTACTTTATTTATTTATTTTTTGGTGAGGCAATTGGGATTAAGTGATTTGCCCAGGGTCATACAGCTAATAAGTATCCTGTGTCTGAGGCCGAATTTGAACTCAGGTCCTCTTGATCAGGGCTGGTGCTTTATCCACTGCACCATCTAGCTGGCCTTGTTAATTTTACTTTTTTAAATTCTTTGATATATACAATAGTGATCTGGGAAGGGAAAAGGAAGAAAATAGGGAGAAATTTAGCTCATATCAAAATAATGTTTATTTTAAAAACTATATGAAAGGACTTATGATAAAGCATGAAAAGTTTCAGCTAAGCTTATCTCCCCTAAGAAACATTCTGCCAGACTGTACAAGAAGATGGCCAGAAATCTGCAAATGCTCTGGTCAGGGATGTACCAGGGGGGCTTGAAGCCAGTTGATAAATGGGGCCTGAAGCCATCAGGAACTCATCATTATCTGCTCAAGGAAAGGGAGAAATACATGCATGTCCGTCAACAAGTTAGTCAATAAGTATTTGTTAAGTGCTTATTATGTGCCAGCATTCTTTGAGACTTTCCAGGAGGCCTGAATCCAGTGTGATCTCTAATATCCTGCTATAGCTAAAGAAGGGGACAGAAGAAGCTCCCCATGGCTTTCTTGGAGTCCCATATTCAGAATAATATTTGATATTTTGGTGCATCTTAAACTATCCTACAAAACAGCAATCATCAAAACTACTTGATACTGGGTAACAAATAGCACAGGGTGAAACAGATTTGATATACGACATACAGATGAAAATGAATACAATATCCTGAATGTTAGAAAAACCCAAAGACCTCAGTTACTACGGAAAGAACTCGCTATTTGGGAAAAACAAACAAACCTGAAATCCTAAGAAAACCTGAAAGCAGCATCTCAGAAATTAAGTTTACAACAATATCTCACAATGTTTAACAAGGTATGTTCCAAATGGGTATATGACTTAACTATGAAGAGAAATCATAAACAAACTAGAAAAGTAAGGAAGAAATAATTTTTCAGATTAACAGATAGGTCAATACTTTATGACCAAAGTATAGAAAATAAAATAGGTCAATTCTGACTGCATAAAACTAAAAGGGTTTTGAATAAACAAGACCAATACAACTAAAATCAGAAGGAAAGTAAGTAAATGGGGGAGGAGGGGAACAATTTTATATAAAGTTTCTCTGATAAGGTCTCATTTTTAAAATATATAAAGATTCAAATTTATAAGAACAAGAATCATTCCCCAATTGATAAATGGTCAAAGAATATGAACACGTATTTTTCTGTTTTCTTTTTTAAAATTAATTTATTTTTAATATTCATTTTTTAAAATTCTGAGTTCCCAGTTCTCTTCCTTTCTCCAGACCCTTCCCCATCTATTGAGAAGGCAAGGAATAGGATATTAATTATACATGTGAAGCCATGCAAAACACATTTCCAAATTAGCCATGTTGTAAAAAAAAAAAAAGCAAGAAAAATAAAGTGAAAAAAGTATTCTTCAACCTGCAATGAGTTCATCAGTTCTCTCTCTGGAGGTGGATAGCATTTTTCATCACTGGTACTTTGGAGCTGTTATGGATCATTATATTGATTAGAGTTATGTATTTCACAGTTAATCATCATTACAATATTGCTGTTACAGTGTATAATGTTCTCTTGGTTCTTCTCATTTCACTTTGCATCAGTTCATATAGGTCTCTCCAGGTTTTTCTGAAACCATTCCCCTCATCATTTCTCATAGCACAACAGTTTTCCATCATAATCATAAACTACAACTTGTTTAGCCATTCCCCAATTGCTAAGTATCCCCTCAATTTCCAATCCTTTGCCACCACAAAAAAGCTGCTACAAATACTTTTGCACCTTTGGTCTTTTTCCTATTTTTTATCTCTTTGGGATACAGATCTAGCAGTGGTATTGCTAGGTCAAAGGGTATGCATGTTTTTCTAGCACTTTGGGCATAATTCCAAACTTGTTCTCCAGAATGACTGGACTAGTTCACAACTCCACAACAGTATTATATCAGTGTCCTTATTTTTCCACATACCCTCCAGCATTTGTCATTTTCCTTTTCTGTCCCATTAGTCAATCTGATAAGTGTGAGGTGTTACCTTAGAGTTGTTTTAATTTGCATTTTTCTAATCATTAGTGATTTAGAACATTTTTTTTTCACATGACTATTGATAGCTTTTATTTCTTCTTTGGAAAACTGTTCATATCCTTTGACCATTTATCAGTTGGGAATGGATGACTTATTTTTATAAATTTGGCTTATTTCTCTATATATATAAGTTCTTGAGGACTTAATCTGAGAAACATATCATACATTTTTTTTGCAGTTTTTAAAGGAAGAAATACAAACTGTCAATAGCCACATGAAAAAAAAAATGCTCCCAAATAACTAATAACTAGAGAAATGAGAATTTAAATAAGTTGGAGATACCACCTCAAACTCATGAAATTGGCAAGAGGAAAATAATGGGTATTAGAGGGGCTGCTGAAAAACAGGTATACTGATGTACTGTTGGCAGAGTTGTAATTGGTTCATCCATGCTGGAGAGCAATTTTGAACTATGTCCAATAAGTTATTAAACTATACACATACTTTGACCCAGCAATACTAGGTCTATGCCTTAAACTAATCAAAGAAAGAGAAAAAGAACCTATATATACATTTATAAAAGCTCTTTTTTGTAAGTTCAAAGAATTGGAAACTAAAAGAGTATTAATCAATTGAGGAATGGATAAATAAATTATGGTATATGAATGTAATAGAAATATAGTTGTGCTGTAACAAAAGATAACA